TCATTTGTGACTGTCTCTGCCCGGGTAATTTCGTGGATGAATGGGGATTGAACAATTGTAAAAACAAACGATAGAGGGCGCAGTTTGTTATCAGCAATACCGTAAACGACTTGAACTTTTTTCCAGTTATTGTCATCAACACATTTTCTTCTATACATTAACAGGTTTTTTTTCGATTTATTTTTTATAATGTTATGTCGCTTGTAAAAAAGTAAGTGAATAAAAAAAAAGTGTAAAGGAGATGGCGTTTTAAATTTCATGGTATTGAATATCCTTCTTTTTCTTTAGGAAAAACTTCAATGCCAACTTAAATTACTTTTTGTTCGTGAACTTATAAGTAGCCATTATTTTTTTTTGTTTCGATTTATGAATTCACGGTCTTGGTTTTGAGAAATAATTTTTTTAGGGACTTTTAGGATGAAAACATAAAACATAAAAATAGTTTTTTTTATAGACGTGAAATAATAATAAAGGATTCTGTAATTAAAATATTGACAGTAACCTATTTAAAAAAATCACTAACATAACTGGTATTGTGTAAGAACAATCTGTTTGGAAGCTGATAATTAAAAGAAATTATACTCTGATTTTATATTTTTATTATTTCGCATGCTTATATTCATTACTTTAAGCTTTCCAATGAAAGAAGTAAATGTTTTTCTTTTTTTTTTATAAAAAAAATTTATTTTGTTTCAGTAAACTGTATGATTATCATTGCCTAAGTTTTTTGTATACTAAGAATATTTAAATTAAATTTAATTCAAATAAAATGTTGCATGACATAATGTATGAATATGAAAATATTTTATTTGAATTTTTCGGTAAAAATAAGAAAAATGATAATTTCTTGAGAAAGGAAATAATATATATATATATANTGATTTTTAAATTATTGTCGTTATTTCCTCTTATGCTCCACAAACTCCTACACACACGCACACACACACACACACACATATATATATATATATATGTATATATGAATTATATTGGTATTTGACTTAAAGTTTTGCATACAATTTTGTAGTGTTCAGTACTTATTTATTGATTGCTTTTTCTCACTCCGTACGAAGAAGGAGATTTCATCAATTTATATTTTAATCGTTATAAGAATATTAAATTTAAACATTCCTAATAAGATATGATATTTATGGACAGGGGCCACAAACAATACTTCGTTGTCCTCAATTTTAATTCTATGAAATCAGTTAAAAAATTTATTTTTAATTTATTTAAATATTATATTTATATTTTTAGTATACAGTTACAACAAACGTAGTCTAATTTGTTTCAGTATTTATTGAAAATATTAAAACAGTTTCACTCCAAATTTATTAATTACCTTTGATTAATCACTTTAATTAATTTAATAATCAGTTTGAGTTTATTTCACGCAAATAATAATTTTATTTTAAAGATGGTGATTTGTTTGTCAAGCAATATTTTGAAATATATTGTATTACTTGCTTTAGCAAGAAATCATTGTCATCAATATATCTTCAAATATTTCTTTCGCACGTAAACCATAATATTTTGTAAGAACCCAAATTATTACCTAGTTTCGGAGCTCTTTTGCATATCTGTAAAGCTAAGTCTGAAGTAGTTTTTCTCAGCTGTCTTCTATAATTTAATATTTTAAATTTCTTTGCACATCTGCAAAGGTGATTGCTTCAGTAAGGGAAAAGAATTGATCACCAGTCCATGCTGGTTTCAAAGTTGAAGGATATGCTGTTTCCCTGCGCATAGCTTTGTCATTTGTTAGTTAAGCAAATACTACCATTTCGATAAGAGATATAATTGTTTTTCTTAACGATACGCAATTTGAAGCAATTCAGTCATTTCAGTTCTTGTAATTCAGTTTTTAAAAGATTTTTTAAGATTTTGTTTTCAGTATAACAAAGATTCTATTATGTTTACATTCCCGTCAGGAGATCAGTGAATTTATAATATTGCGCAAGTAACTATTCCTTGGGCCAATACTGCATATGAAAATAATAATTATTATTTACTTTTAAAAATTGCTGAGTTAAGGGTAAAATATATTAAGCATTCAATTATAGAAAATTTTGCTAAAACTTTCAAATATTATGCAAATTCAGCTTCGAATTTTACGTCGTGTATTTAAACCGCTTAAAACTTAACAGATCTTTTGGCTTACAATTTCAGTCACAGAGGAATCACTTAAAATTCACCAAATGATTCACTTATTCTTTTTCGAAAGGGAAACAAACACAGACTTAATCCCGGTATTACTTGCTTTTAAATCAAAAAATACTGCTGGAATCGTGCTATGTCTTATTAGTTCAGATTTTTCTGACATACCTAATGAAGCCAAAAATTCCGTGCCCCGTTTCGATTTCGTTGATTGTGTTTAAAAGTACGTTACAGTTACCGTTAAATAAAAATGCCTCCTGCAAAGGTTAGGGAAATAACAACCGCCTTGTTAAAAAAGAAAGAAGCTGTTCGGGCAGCGTTCCAGAAAGACTCCCTAGATGCATTTATTTTCAAAGTTTTGGAACAAGAATGTAAATGGAAGTGGAAGTAAAGAATGTTGCCACAAAATCTTTACTTGTCGCAAATGTTGTGGCAACTATTTTTCTTCCGTTTTCGTCATGTTTTTTTTCGAACGAAAGTTTGAGGTTTTCTTCCCTTTTTCAAATATATTCTAATCTGGAATTTAAATTCAGATCATCATACTGCTTTTTTATAAATAAAGTAGAAAATATTAATTCATTTGTGTTCGAATTTTTAACTTTATTTTAAGTTACAGATAAGTAACATTCACATGCCCTTTTGCTTAAATTAAAATCAATTCTCAAAAAATGAAATGTATTATTTCCAGATTGGGAGAAATTAACTGCATTTTATTTACAGAAATAACGAAAATTTAAAATTTTGTATTTCATAATTTAAATTATTTGAAACAGGAGATATAGTGATGCAAAAAATTATTTTACATAATACTGCAGAATTAACAAACAATTTTAAAATAACACAAATTTACTCATAAACTCTGTTTGCATTCTTAATTTGCTTAATTTTATTCTAGATTTATAATTGAATTATTTAAATTTTGCTTAAATAAGTTCCATTTATCTATATTTTTATTCTTTTGAAAGAGCATTATTATAAACAAAAGATAAAATGTTGAAGGAATAGAATTTAAAGAAACGGAATAAATTTGAATTTTTTACTATTTATTTAGAATTTCATTATATTAGTTACATATTTGTAGAGTCTTCCAGAAAACAAGGAAAATATATTTAAATATTCCTAGAAAATATTTCATGGAAAATAATCAAATAAAGAACTATGCATTACGAAATCGAATATCATTGTTGATAAATTTTAAAGCGAAAAATGTTATCTTTCTTTTTAAATCGCCCATTCACTGTTTATTGTATGAAAAGTACAGTTTTTATCAATCGTTTATGTCAGAAACCTATCAATGAATTACTTTCTGCAATGTTTAAAAGTAGTCCCTACAAAGACTTACTCTGTTCTATCATAAATTGTGTATCTTGCATTTAATTTATTATTTTTCACAATAAGTTGTTTAGAATCTATAATTGAATTGTTTTTACAATCGCGTTGTTAATATTTGCTTCTTTTTACTCATGCTGTTTATAAAATTAAACAATTGCCGAGTGCATTCTCATGAAAACCTAAATGTGTCCGATGAAACTATACTTTAAAAAAATTCTGTTTAATATTCGGCATCAAAGTTGCCAGTGGTTATCCGTATGCTACGGGGGAAAACATGTTGACAGAAATTTCCTGTAACAAAGCAGTAAAGGAAATATAGGCACGGGCCAGATATTTTCCGTATGGCAGGATACGGCAGAGAAATTTGGCATGAGTAGCGGTATACCCTTGTTCAGTAGTTCCGAAATGGGATTCAAACCCGAAACCATCCTGGTATGAAACCAGCAGCTTGAACACAATACTAGTTGGTCGGCATCTATTTTAATGTACCAAATTATTTGCTGCTTCTTTGATACTAAAGTTTTTCGTATTCAAAACTGAAAAAATCAGCACTCAGTAGATATAATCGGTATCTATGTCTACAGATTTTATTTGTTGATGGAAGAAATTTCTCTTGTAACATATTATGACGTAGTTTCTCAGTAAATTTATATAGTTTCAGACAGCCGAATTTTTTGAAAGAAAATTACTGAATTATGCTTTTCTAACTGAATTTTTTTTTGTAAAGGAATTCTTAACTTTTTTCAATTAAAGAATAAAATTTTCAAAATTTCACTAGTTGTCAAAGTTTCAACTAATAACCTAAAAAGCAGCGTTAAGGAAACTAATTTATGTTACTGTTAAATGTTCAAATAAATGATTCTGAAAACACGAAACAAAAAAAAATTATAATAAAATGGTAATCGTTTTGTACATGAGTACTGAATGTATATGAGTAAATGAGTAAGAGTGGATGTATTTGCATATGAGCACTGAAAATATGTGTTCAAATTGGATCATTTGGAATGAGTCTAAGCCGAGTAATTTTACTTCTGATTATTTATTAACTTTTAAATTATCTCAAGTTGATTTTATTCTCAGTTTAAAAATTTTCGTAATAATGCAAATAATGCATTATGTGATTTAACATAAAATCACCTTACAATGAATTATAACCAAGTATTACCTTAAAATTAAATGTAATAAATACATTATAACCACAGCATTTTTCACTCCTAAAAAGTATAAAAGCATTTGCATTATCATTTTTAAAATGATTATATAGTCAATTTTTAAAACAATATTTCGTGTAAACAATTTTTCTGTCGTTTTTTGGTTCCATTGAATGAAAAGTGTATTATTAAACTTATTGTAATTGAGGCTATTTTCGAAATATATGTACAAAGCACGATTTAGCAATTCCATCAAAGGTAGCTGGATCATACTCTGCGTCCTATTATACGTGAATCTCGGCATATATGGTAAGCAAACCGACTGACCATTGACGGGGGATAGGAAAAGGCATATTTACTTACCTAATACGCCTAGTCGATAATTTATTGTTACAACTACGACTCCCCCAAAGCTCGCTAATACACTTCCATCATAAGGGTTACCAGAATTCCAATCATAAGATTCTCCATGTATATAAACCATCACTGGTAATTTAGTTGGCTCCCGACCAACTGAAAAAGAAGCAATTTAAAATTATATTTATGCATTTGTTATTTAAAAAAATGCATATATTGGAAAAATGAGTTCTATGATAAGGAAAATCTGAAAGATTATTGAGGAAAAAAACATTCATTATGTACTTTGTGAAATAGAAGCATTTTGAGAAAAACAAAAGCTTGGTTTGCTAATAGATATCAAGAAATATAAGATACACTAAATATAATAAATATAAGACACGTTAAACATCAAAAATGATTACTTTTAGTTTGTTCCAGAACTTATTTAATGACTTTAATAAAATATTTCGTATCGTAAGTTGTAGTTGCCACTATTTATTCAATTGGATAAAAGTTCAAATTAAAAAAAAGTCTCGTTAAACACTTTAAACATGAAAATGATTACTATTATTTTGTTCTATGATCAATTTAATTATTGTAATAAAATGCTTCGCAACATGAACTTTAGTGACCACTATTTATTGAAATGAATAGAAGTCATGTTAAACATTTTTAACATGAAATTAACTACTATTATTTAGCTCTAAGATTTTTTTAATCACAATAATGAAATATTTCGTATGGTGAACTGTAGTTGCCACTATTCATTTACATGAATAAAATTTCAAGGCAAGAAAAAGTCACTTTAAATATATTTTAGCAAGAAAATGATTACTATTACTTTGTTCTAAGATTTATTTAATCACACTAATAAGATATTTCGTATCATGAATTGAAATTGTGACCATTTATTCAAAGGAATGAATAAGTCATGTTAAACATTTTAAACATGAAAATTATTACTATTATTTTTTACTAAGATTTAATCACACGAATAAAATATTTCATATCGTGAATTGTAATTGCGGTAACTATTTATTCAAATAAAAAAGCCACGTTAAACATTTTAAACATCAAAATATTTACTAATATTTTGCTCTAAGATTTATTTAATTATAATAATAAAGTGTTTCGGAACGTGAGTTGTAGTTGCGACCTTATTAAATGACTGAAAGTTCAAGGCCAAAAAAAAGTCGTTAAACACTTTAAACATAAAAATGATTACTATTATTTTGTTCTAACTTTTATAAAATTACTGGTCTTTTTTATCTTGATATTCTAGAGTATGCCATTAAAATCGGTTATTCGGTGAAATATACTTTTCAGTTTCGTATTTGTACTAGGCATTATTTTTTACAAAATAATGAAAACTAGGATTTTGAAAATCAGAATTTCCGGGAGTCCGTTACCATACGGTAAGGTAATTTCACCAGATTTTTTTTTCTCCGTGTGACTATGAACTTTAATTTTCAGTTTGCCAAAACGTAATAATTTGGCCATATTCTAAGTAATTAATTTCAGAGTTTAGATAGAAATGCTAACTTCTGTAATACAAACTGATAATCGAAATTACTTGTCTCCCGTCAGTCAATAAATAAAGCAGTTCGAACTTAAATTGTAATAATTCACAACTACTTATTTACACAGTTCCATCTTAATTTCAATATGTCCCACTCTGTTTCCTTTTATAACTTTTAAAAAAACGTGTTAATGAAATAAGCATGTGCTTCACAAGCCTTGAAATGCATATGATAATTTATTTTTTGAAAGACAATGATAATACAGATGATAATACATATGATTATACAATGATAATACATATGAATACATATGATGTCAAGATCATTATTTAAAGAAGAACTTGCAGAGATTTTTTTTATTTTTACGGAGTATTAGAAAAATGTACATCAAAGTCGCGAATAAGCTTTACTATTATACGTATAATTAATTGTATTAAAAGTAATTGTATTAAAAGCAATTGTAGTGTATTAAGTAGTAATTAATAATTGTGGTAATGGTAGTAATTAATAATTGTGGTAATGGAAGTAATTAATAATTTTAATTAATGGTTGTATTAATTGTGTGATTGTAGTAATTAGTAATTGCAGTCATTAGTAACCGTAATAAAATATTAGTAATTGTAATCGCTATTCATCTAAAAAGGAGTAATATTGGCTGTTTCGCTTAGGACGATCAACTTTTTTATTATTTAAATAAAAAAAAATTAAAATTACTTTAATGGCTCAGGGAATAAAATATATTCAATACACCATAGCTTTTATTTGGAATATAATTTGGTTAAGAATTAATATTTTGTTGTTGCAAAAACTCAATAATAATGGAATTCAAACATAAATATAAGTATGAATCTTATGCTTATTTATCTTTTCCTTTTTAGAAATAAAAAGATTTTTGGAAAAACATTTTCACAAAATACATTTTAAAAACATTATAAATACATTTTCTCTAAAATAAGCATTCTAGAAGTAATCCAACAATAGAAAACTACTTCTTTTTCGTACTAATGGTAAAAAAAGAAAGAAAAAAAAAGGTTTGTTTTCGAAACAAAATTTTTTTGATGTTAGGAAGTTCAGATGGGTCTATTTTCCCCTACTAGAGTTTTCCTTTTTTTTTATTTTTATTTTTTGTATTATTTTTATTTTCACATTAAAGTTGCTTTTTCAAAAATACTATGAATGCAAAATAACAGAAATGCAATATAATATTTGTTTATAACGCATAAATAAATCGTACTATAATTTATTTTATAGTAGAGGCAAAAAAGAATTTTTTTTGAAATACATAGGGAATTAAAATTCACATTATGGTAGAGTTTTCTTATATTTTAAATCTACATTTCAACTATTTAGCTCGGAAAGTATCGATAAATTATTTTAGATTATATTTCTAAAAGTATTCGTGAGTGAAATTTTTTTTTGTCTATTCTAGCTAATTACTTCATTGTGATCAAACATCAAATACAATATATCTAAAAATTAACCACAAAGCAACTGTACAAAATGTGATGAAATCTATAAAATTTGGTCTTACCCCTTCAAAAATAAATAAATTAAAAATAACTATGAAAAAGTAATTTTCCTATAATTAAAACTTTATTTTATGGAATCTTTAACTGTAATTTTGTAATAAGTATTACAGTTATAAGATAAGAATAGTTGCATAATAAAGACAATAAAGCTAAAACTCATCACTGAATGAGATCATAAGACCTTCAGAAAGCATACCGAAAGAAATGCCAAATTGAATCTTGAAAATAAAATTTTTATATACTGTACTGTAAAACTATACTTTAAAACTTATACTACTTTAAAACTTATACTACTTTAAAACTTATACTACTGTAAAACTTTTATACAGTAAAACTTGTGATGCATTATCTCTTCGAATTTGATGCTGGAATTTTAATAATGCAATTTAAAGTACGTATAAAGGCTCTAACTACAAAAAAAAGAAGAAAAAAAGATTGCAGCTTACGTGAATTATTTTCGTTTCAGAAAACTTCAATGCTGATGAGCTTAGGATATCGTCTGGGGAGTGTTTAAAATTGAGTACAAAGTTGGTGTGAATTTGTTATTTTCTCAACAATGTCTTCTGAACAAAATGCAAGTTTTCATTTTTAATGTCTACTTTGTGATAAACATCAGTAATTTCTTGATATAATAAACTTAGATTTTGAATCGAAACAAATGGGATTGCATGCTTTTATGTTTGGTATTGTATAAATAAAAGTATCGATGTTTACTTTTATTGTTTGTATCCCTGCATGCAATAACTTCGTATGTACTTACTTCCCGAATATTGCCGAATTGCCGGATATATTAGGTATATGTAGAGCGCTCATGTTGCTTAAAAAAGAATTTTGCAACATTAATGTTATTTCAACATACTATGTTTTTGTATCTAGTTAGTAATTGAAGAGGCTATGTCTGTCTAAAGGGAGAACTCCCGTAGAGATTCATCTGAACCCGTTGTGGTGACTGTGGTAACGAGGGATAACTACATCAAATAGGGGTGCAAGGTCACTGTTTTGTAGGTTTTGGGTCGGGTCAGCCAGAGAAAGGGAATATTTTTCTTCCTGATTATTATTCTTCCTGATTATTTTTCTTGATGATATTAACCCTAGAGTGAAGAGAAGCTGCCCTCCCTGAAATGCGCTATTCTTATTTCCATAGCAGCAGACGGCTTCAGACTTTGTGGCGGGGGAGTTCTCATGATATAATAACTATACGGATCTCGGAGGAAGGAGCTGCAAAAGACGTTCCAGGTGTTGGTGAGGTTATAGATCACTGATTAATCTTAAAATACTTGTTCTCATTTAATATTTTTATTCATCTAGAAAAGGCGTAGCGAAGAATTGCTCTCTTTAGTGATTAAATTATAATTTGTTGGTACTTGATGGAATAGAATTCCGCCTTTACTCTACATAAGAAAAAAGATTGATGTACTTTAAGTAAGATACTTAATCTTGGCATCTGACAATTAGTGTCAACAGCAATACGTTACAGAGATCACCTTTGAAACACCATGTTAAGCATATATGGGTGATTCTCACGAAACATGACAATTCACTGTCCCTTGCTCCAAGATCTAATACTCTAATACTAGAAGAACTTTTTTTTAAAATAATTGATAAATAGAATTACTGTTAGCATTTTAAAATGACTTTACACTAGCATTGACTGTTTTGTATGCTTAAAAAATTTAATTGAATATCAAAATGTCATTTTCCTGGCATGTCCCAAACAATATTTCCAATAACAACTAGCTTCAAAACTTCCCATAAATTTTTTAAAATCGATTTTTTCATCTTATCCTATGTAAGCATTTCTGGAATATATGCAGAGGGTATTGTTTACTAAGACTTCGCTTAAAATAATTTTTTCTGTCAATAATTTGTTTGTCCCATGAAAATCTGTCATTTTCCTGGCTACTTTTATTTAGTGAATTATAACCAAAATAGATAGCGCCGGGAATCAATATCTTATGTTAATAAAATGATTAGATACCCTCCTATCTGAACATGTCTTGTTGCATGAATAAAGAACCAATTTTCTGGCTCAAAATCTATTTCAAAAAAGTTTTCAAGGTCAGTAGGTTTTTATGCTGTCATTTTCCTGGCTTCTTGAAATCATTGATGACAAAAACTAC